GCTTGAGTGGATCATAAGGTTAACTCACAATCGGTGAATATATACTTTCTCCGTGTGCACAAACGCCTTTCTCGTAACACGTTTACACGCACATCTATATGTGCGAATAGAAATAGATGATATACGAGAGAGTTGTCTATGAGTTAACAACCACATACAAACGCGTATGAGAGTTCGGCCATCTCGAGTCCTTGCGAGTCCGCTAGTTTGATTCAGGCCAGGACAAGCTCGAAAATAGTTTTGTAATTGAATTTCAATTGAATCGACCCCTCCGGCATCTCGCACACATCCTGCCTTGCGAAAGCATTCCCCGATGGGCAGGCTAGACGGCTGGCGATCTAATCGAGTACCGTTCGTTCCTGGTTGAAGTAAAAGTGAGCAGCAGCAGCAGCAGCAGCAACAGCAGCAGCAGCAGCAGCAAAAGCCGATGTGTTTCTTTTATTTCTATTTTTCTTTCTCTTTTTCGCTTTTTCTTTCCTAGACTAACGGCGCTCAATCAACGTTACGATTATAGTTTGCTTTGCAAGAAGAATCTTATAAAGAAAGTAATGTTGAACGATATTGTTTACTTTCTTAAAAATCATGTTAAAGTTAACGAATTAAAAAGATTTTGGTTCAATTTTGAAGGGACGATGGACTGGATGAAAGAATAAGAAAATTAAATATAGATCTTGTGCACAGTTATACGTTGGCCCGCTTGATCGTTCATCCGTCCATCGGGCGTTCTATTCCTTCTGCTCCGCTATAACGTTGCAAGAACTGAAACTGTGCGATCGACTCGCGTGAAAGTCCGTATCTCGGCGATTAACGGTAATTGTATCCCGATGTTATCTGATATTTTGGACGAGGAATATACGTCGCACGGTTCTTCGATCTATTTTATTCTTTCCTTCGGCTTCTTGTCCCATGAACATTATATCGTTACGATTATTGCTTAATGCGGGGAACGAATAAAGTTATCAACCATGGAATATCGATATTAAAATGGACAAGAGTAAATGAAATCATAATAATTATAACTATATATAAGAGAAGCTGTTTGAATTTATGAATAGAAATTTATTATGAAAATAAATTTTGAAATGACAAATGATGGATTTACTATAAAGGAAAGGAAAAAAAAAAAAAGAAAAAAAAATGAAAGGTTATCACGTATTTGTATCTACTTTTCGTGCATGATTATGTTTGAAGAAACGTGAAAGTAGTATATAGTTTGGTAGATGTTATAGTAGTATGTATCAATCGTAAACTGTCATATTGCGTACTATGCTCTTGCAAAATGATGACATTTGCTTCTCATCGGTTATAATCAATCGATTCTGTATTTTATGAGCAATACGCGAACGCATGCGTGGACAGCTCTTACACGCATATATATACATATATATTACAGCATATTTACATGTATATATATATACATGTAAATACACAGAACATAGTAAGGTTCGGTTCCAAATGATTCTAGACAGATTGGATAGGATAGAGTCGGCAACGTATACAGGCAAAGCAAAAACGTGTATACGTATACATATATCTATGTACATAAGTGTGTTCGTTCTGGAATTTACTCTCGAAACTGTTGTGGGTGAGAGTAAGAAAACTGGGACTTGTACAACTCGTAAGAATGCAAGTGTAACGGGTGACCGATGATATAAAGATCAACCGCTCGTAATTTATCACAACCACGTACCACGATGATCGCCGATCCAGGATAAAGAAAAATTGGCCGTTGAAGAAAACTAAACGAGCCCGTATAGTTTTGTAATGCTCGATTCGATGCCAAATCGTTAACCTTCTCTTACCTTCTTTCTCTCGAGCTCGCGCTTTAAAAGGAAATCTCGTTCGCGCGGTATTCTGTTGGACGAAGCTCTCGGAGAGTTTTTGTAACGTTATTTCCGCATCATGTCCTGTCAATTAAATCCTCTTTCTTACGCGGAACAGGTAAAACGTCAGCGTCGCTTTCTTTTTGCCACTCTGCCTATCTATACATATATATATATATATATATATATATATATGGGTAACGTGCGCATGTATATTTCATTTGGTCCCTCTTCATTCTTTCTTTACTTTTATTTCACGGTTTACTTTCACGCTCTCGATAGGTTCGTGACATTAGGAAGCTTTCTACGAGAAGATATTTCATTTTCGCCTAAAGGAATCATTTAGTCGAGCGAACTCTACAAATAAATATATCATCGTGGAATATAAAAAATCTTTCGCGGAAGAGGAAATTTCTAAAATGGGCATTTTCGAACACCCGTTATACCATCACGTACGCACATGCCGTTGCACTTTATACGGCAAGGACGCAATCTGGAACAGCCGCAAACGGACTCGACTACTACTTGAGAGATTGCTGATTGCAAAGTTGACGGCTAACTAGGCAGCTGCTTTATCGGCTTGCACGTAAATGCATAAACATGCTTCGCGAGACAAACATATATACATTCCAGAGGACGTTTCCTCTTTCTCTTGCTTTCTTCTCTTTCTTCCTTTCTTTCTTGTTTTTCTTTTTCTTTTTTTCTTTTATTCTTTTATATCACTTTCCTAACCATTTCACGATAAATTACATCATTTGTATTTATCATTAATTTATCGTCGAAACTTTTTAATTAACATCTATCTAACGATATATACTATATGTGTGTGTGTGTGTGTTTATAAAAGAAAAAAAGTAATGAAATAATTCAAAAGAACGAACAAATCATTTAACCTTCATATTCATATATCATATTCATATTCATATTTAATATATGAATATATGAATCATATTCATATATTCATATATTAAATTCTTAAAATATGAATTTTAATTCATAAGTACTTTTATGAATAATGCTATATCTATGAGAGGGTTGTTTCCACCCTTGTGGCCGCAAACTATTGAAATATCAAGCAGTCGTGGCCGAGTGGTTAAGGCGTCTGACTCGAAATCAGATTCCCTCTGGGAGCGTAGGTTCGAATCCTACCGGCTGCGAAATATTTTTTTCCTTCTTTTTAAAGGAGAATGATAATTAAAGATTTCTACAGACTGAACTCTGCTCTGGACGACTATATACTACTTCTTTTCCCTGGTATCCTTATCCACATAAGGAACTTACGATAAATTTAAATTGATTCCAATCGAGAAGTATTAAAATATTAACGTGAATTGATAAATAAATCAATAACCTTGTTTATTATTTTTTTTGAAATTGATCGTAATATTGGAAGAAATAGTTAAATAAGTTGACAGTCAAAGGTCAGTCATGTATAATCAATCCACTTACTATGCCGCGAAAATGGTTTGGCTGTTGACCGCTGCTGATTGGCTAACTGTAAAATGGCAATTCCGCTATTCTAGCCGACAGGAAAAGGACGATCGTGCTGTCTCGGAAGGCGCGGAGAGCCAAGGTGATTATGTGGCCTTGTCTCACGTGATCGTTCATTAATGTTTATGCAGGAGCGCGAATGAGAGAATTTGCATTACTGTTTATTTAACGAACAATATGACAGAACGAAATTCTCTTGCTCCTGTGTATTAAAAGAAAAAAGAAATAAAAATAAATAAATAAATAAATAAATAAAAAAGAGATCGATATTTTGATCATATAACATTGTAGATCGAAATTTAAACAAATTTTTATAAACTTTGTAATTTTCCGCGAACGATCTCATTTTTGACGATTTGGAGCACTCTGTGCATTTCTCACATCATGTCACATTTTTTGTTGTTTCTTTTCTTTGAGAGGGAATGGGATATTTTCTCTAAACAAGACTTCGAAAAAATTAACCTTTCACCGCATTCACGCAGCTGCAGAAGCAAGAAGTAGAGGGCGGAGAGGGAACAGAAAGAGAGAGGTCCATTTGTTATATTCAGGGACGCGTCAAAATGATTAAGAAAATATGCATGTGAAGTTAGAAATGCGAAGATGATTATTAGCAAAATTGAACAATTTAATGCGTGTGTGTATTCGTAGTAACGTGCGTTGATTTGAAAATATGATTCACTGTGTATTATTTGTCATAATTTGATAGGGTTATATTATTATGCAATCGTAATGTCTCTCAGAATTACTTACTTAAATCATTACAAGTTGTAGTATGAAGTAATGATGTTGACTCGTTGATTTATCGCGATGAACTGTGGTAGAACATTCGACTGTTTGTTGAAGTTCACATGTATTTACACATGTATTCAAGTAGTAATAATATTTATATAGTATATATATATAGTAAATAGTAATAATATTTATTACTATTTTTAATGTATACCTTTATTGTGTACAGATTACACATTAAGCAAACTAGCATTGTCCCCGTAAATATTTTTACATTTTTTACTTAATACGTAATACTACTAACATTAATATTTATTAAGATTATGAATATGATTTTAATTATTTTATTCACATCATTACCAATCCAATAGCAAATCCAATAACAAAACTAATGGAATAAACTCGTAATAATAGCTTAATACTATAATCTTCGAAACAATATCAGTGATTAGTCAAAATAATATTTATAATTTCTTCAGTAATGGACATACAAATATCTAACGTATATTATATAAAGCAAAAATTTAGACGTTTACTTTTATATATATATATATACTTTTCTATATTGAACAATTTTTTTTATGATTACGCACGCAATCAATCTATCTGTAGTTTTGTTTTTAAATTTAATTTTGCTATTATATATAAATAGAACAAACATCGACATGAAAACTAAAATTGTTTGTTAGAAAAAGCAATACTATTAATTTATAAATATGTCCATTTACCTTAACTGATACTTTGCGTGGTATTAAAACTGACTATATTTTTTATCATATAACTACAATAACTTGTATATACTAATGTTATCCTACTGTATTTGAAACATACATCATCCGTGTTCACTACTTCTTTATGTTTGTGCACATATATAAATTTAGATATTTTTTTCCTCATATATAATGCTCAGATATACTTTTTATTTCTTTTCTCTTTCATAAACTCAATATTGCAGGATTATTATTTTCCTTTTGTTTGTTGATACTTCGTACGAGTTTATTAGTGGAATTTCGTAACATTATATGCACAAACAATACATTCTGGACAAGTTTGTACTAATAAGAATAGTACTTTACTACTATTCTTCGTATTAAGCTTAATATTAATGTGCAGTGCAAAAAACCTGAGTTATCAGGTGAATAGCACTATATAATGATGACATTGTACCAAATAACAAACATATATGTGCAATGTCAGCAATATTTTTATCGTGAAATTAACAGGGACATTCTGCATTATAAAAATGCACAACATATGACAATTGGTTTCTTTTTCCGTTTTTTTTTCTTTTTTTTTTTTCTTTTTTTCTTTTTTTTTTTTTGTAAGAAAGATTAATTGTATTGTTTGATTTTATAAACATATGATAAACAAATCTAAATACCTATATTATAGCAATGGGAGTAATTAATATCCTCGCACAAATTAACATACTGTTCGTATTCCATACAATACATTGTACAGTTATATTAAGAACTTGGGTCTTTGTTATGCGCAATGCTATTTGGAAAGAACAAAGTTGCACAGGGCATAACTTTCTATTATAATTATTTAAACCGATACATCAAATGTATTAACTATTCCTATAATTCGATGATCAAGTCTCTCAATGTAACAAAATCGTATAATTTATCTTACTACAGGGATTAAAAACATTTAATCGTGCGGTAAAATTATTTTTCACACTAACTAGTGGGCGGCGGAGGTGGTGGTGGTTGAGCCAATAAGGTAGGTAACGTATTCAAATCGATTCCTGGCGGAGCAGGAGTTTGTTGTTGCTGTGGTGGAGGTGGAACGGGAGCTGCCGGAGGCCAACCACCCATTTGTTGAGGTTGCCATCCTGGAAATCCTGGAGGTGGTGCCGTTCCTGGAGGGGGCGGACGCATCGGTCCTTGCTGCCCTTGTTGCCACGGTGGAATACCCATTCCAGGGGGTGGAATTTGCGTTGGTGGCATCTGTCCTGGTGGAGGTGGCTGATTGTTCCCAGCCATCCAAGGCATCAAGGGAGGGATATTTGGCTGAGTGGTAGATCCAGGAGGTGGCGGAGGTGGTTGCATGACACCTGGTGGTGGTGGCATACTAACTGGTGGTTGCCATTGCATGTTCATACCGTTCATGTTATTTACGTCGCCTTGGCTCCACGGCGGCGGAGCCATACCCGGTGGTGGCATCATAGGTCCACCTTGCATCATTTGAGGTGGTGGATGTGCTGGAGCAGCCATCAGGGCGCGAGGTGCCTGTTGCCTAGATTGTAGAAACGAAATGAAAGGATTTAAAATGCGAAATACAAATATTACATTCGTTACATTTTTATAGCAAATCCTGTATACCTATCGAAAAGTCCAGGATAACTTGGATTTGGTGCGGGTTGTCTAGTTTGACCAGACTTTGATCTATCCGGTGGTGGGCCCTCACCCAATTCTGCCATAAGAGACATATATTCTTCGTCTATCTTTGCCTTATCTCCACCAGGTCCCATTCCTCCCATTCCTGCAGCTGCAGGACCACCTTGGCCAGGACGTTTAGATCTACAATCTCGTGCGATGTGTCCAGCTCCTCCACAACTCGAACATACTATATTATTGGTAACATTTGGTTTGTCCGGACACTGCAACGAAGATGAACACATTTTCAGTAAGCATATTATTATAATAATAATGATCTCTAGTTCTTCTATTATAAATAAACATTACGTACAAGCCATGATTTATGATCGGATGCTCCACAATTTGTACATCGAGGACCATCGTTTTCACGCAATGTTCCGTTAAGTAATGCTAACTCTCTCAATTGATTACGTCGTAAATCATTTTGACCTTCAGGAACTTCTACACCTTGTCTTATAATCTCGTGGATCTGATAATAAAATAAAAATAATGATTATAAAAGTTACGAAAGAGAAATCAATCAAAATCTAAATGAAATAATAATATTAAACTTACTCTTTCAACAGCCTTCTTTACGGCATCTAAATTATTTGCCGTTATATAAGCATGCAATGGTTCATCTTCTCCAGGTAAAGGTTGTCCATCTTTTCTACCTACTTTGCCTTCTTTTACAGAACCTTTACCGCGAATAATAATTTTTGCGCCAGTTTCCTTTTCCATCGCTACAACAAATACGAAAAACAAAACGACGATGTTAAATATATTAAACGAAGAGTGAATATACCGGATAATTAACAAATTCTTACATTTCAAGGTATTTCCACGTGGTCCAATAAGCAAGCCAACAAAGTTTATGTCAGGATGTTCTTCTTGTGGAATCATTACTTTATCATGGACACGTATTATCGGAGGCCTAAGAATATATTAAGCGTTACATACACATACATTTTTAATCGATATGTGGTCAGTAAATATTACAAATTAAAAAAAAAAAAAAAAAAAAACGTTAGATAATGAATAATAATATGTCTATATACTTGTAATCTGGCGGTGGCTTAAATTCTGGATTTATTTTGAGAATCTTCTGTATTAGATTGTGTCGTTCTTCTTCCAATTTACGTCTTGTACGATATTCTCTTGTATTTAACCGTTTACCATCACTACTGTATATTGGCTCTGGTGATGGAGACCTGAAAAAAAATGAACGACCGTAAAGATACAAAGTTTTCATTAAGATGGTACTAGCATACAAGCAACCTGAACCTACTACGATTGTGTGATTAAGTGAATAAATTTTAATGGAGCAGTAATTTCTTTGAAGTCTAAATAAATTTTGATTTTAGTGAATTTTTTCATTATTAATAAATTTTAAACGAATTTTCTTTACTACATATCTGATACTCTTTGACTATGTTGGAAATGTAGTCTATATTTAATTTTAATGTAATCACGAAAAGCTAAATAAAATGAAAATAATAAATTAAAAATAATAATTAAAAGAAAGTTATAAAATGTAAAAATAGTTTCGATAAATATAACAAATAAAAATGTTTAACTATTTAAGATAATAAAAACTTTATGAACACAATGGGCTATTTATTGTGAAATTAAGAGAAGATGAGATAACTAAAAGACTCCATTGTATTGATTACTAATATATTATTATAATCATATCGCTTAATAATCTGATTACTTGAGATTGGAAGTTGACATTATTGAAAGATTATAAAGTTTGCCAACAATGCCAAAGTATCAGAACAGAAGATGAAAAATATACTATCGTTAATAGTAGAATTGCTATATGTTTATTATTCTATAGTAGGTAACCACTGGAAGACTGCGCGTTTGTGCACGGCAGATATCGGTATGATGTCAGCTGCTAAGAGATAGATCCTGTGATTATTAGGAAATAATTTCTGACAGATTAGTTATCATCATCTTAAATACTTTACTATGATGTGTAATACTAATGAAACACAAAGACATAACATAATGGTTCCAGCTAAAATCAGAGAAGTTAAACCTATTGGAGTAAATCAATTTATTAGAGAAATTATTTAAGTTTATTTCAAGTTGCACCTGAAAGTAATGTAACAATGAAAGTTACAAAGATATGCTTATGTTAGCAGATGTTATTTTTATAATCCAATATTTTCCTGAAATCTGCTCGATAAAATCGTAATTAATAATAAAATATCTGCTGTTGTTGGTTAATAATAAAATTTCCCTATTATATTATTATCACCACATTAAAATTATTAGTGTCTGATAGTTTGAAATTGCCGTGCAAGTCACGGCAGCCTAAATAGAGAGAGATTGAGAGATTGAGAGATAGAGAGAGAAACAGAAAGAGAAAGAGAGAGAGAGAGAGAGAGAGAGAGAGAGAGAGAGAAAAAAAATTATGCTCAAGGCAACCCATGCATCCATTTGCATTATATCTCAAGTAAACTGTTTCTTTTTTTTTCTTTCTTTTTTCTTTTTTGTATAAAAATTGTCAATTGCCGACTTGGAAAATATATTCTTCAATTAACTTTATAAAAAACCCCATTTACATCAGACTACCTCAGATTCTACATATGCAAGACAATGACTATTTAAAAAATATATGAACTAGGATACCCACTGCAGATTAAGCACTGCCACTAATGTTTTAATTCTCTCTATGTAATATATATATTTATATATATATTGAATATTTAATGTTTATATGAAAATGCGTGTAAAAATTTTAACTTGCACTTCTCGTGATAGCAACAATTTATCTGGTAGCAGTGCTTAGTAAAAAATGAATTAATAAAAGAAATTGATTAGGGCAAACCAATGTTATCAAAATTCATCTTCTGTGCTGCGTGATGGCTATTTACTAGTCCATTCTTTTCAAATGGACATCAGTATCCCATATTAATTGAATTGTAGCCATTTAGATATTTTAAGACCCCTGTATTATGGGCTGCAGTATGGTCAGTAGATAGGTATTGTAGATATGTAACGGTCATTTTTGGTATGTAAGTTTCGTTCAAACCTTTCCTCAGGATTAAGCGGTATTCCAAGGTCTCCAGTACGTAGCTTCCTGCTGATTTCCTCAATTTGCAGCTGAACTGTAAACCAACGGGTTAGAGGGGGCAGAAACCCCAACAGTTAGATATTGCCAATTTGCTACAACCATATACGTTTTATAATTTAAGCATGATTTTAAAATATAAAACAACACATAAACCTTCAGAGAATAAAATTCCTATATTAAGCTTGGAATATATCCAAAACTGAAAGACATTTTTTTTTTTTTTTTTTTTTTTTTTTCTTAGAAGATTTTGATACCAAGGTTTGTGCCTTAGAAAGAAGGTTAAAAGATGTCTTAAAATTCTCAAAAAATAATGTAACTACTTTGAAACTACGCGTTGATTGATTGATTGATAAACGAGTAATTTAGGAATTTTAAGTAACTTTGCAATTTTAAGAATCGAGTCAACTATAAAAAAACAAAGTAAAAAATTCCAGTAATTGCTCTATAATTCTAACTACTTGTGATAATTGGCAATCCTTATTATCGAAATCCATGATCTACTTGCTTCTTAAAAAAAAAAAAGAAGTTAGCCTTACCTCTTGTATCTACAAATACTTAGTGACACACATATTTATACTTACATAATTATATATAATTTATAATGATATAATTTAAAAAATAAATATTGGAAACTTATATACAAAAGTCTGACTTAAAAAATATTCTCTGTCCATATAACGGTATATGATAAGACTAAATGATATGAAAAATAATAAGTGTAAATAAAGATTACTTACAGAGATAAGCTTTCTCCTGTTCTGGGGTCAGATTAGTGGGTAGAACTGTGGGCATCCCGGGTATAAAGGTTTTGTCATGTTCACTACCACTCCATCTAGTTTTCCTCCTCTTCCTACGTTCCTCTTTCGTTTCTTTCTCCTGCTTAACATCGCCTAAAATAATCATTAATCATTCTCAAATTTAAAACGTGTTTACCTTTGCGAAAGAGACGCTACAAGGATCAAAATAGAAGAAACGAGCGATTGTACACAATGTACAATATACAAATGAATGCACAAAGAATTTATAAGAATCAGGATTGCATTAGAATAATATCTATAAAGAGTCAATGTTAAAAATTCATCAGACAATGTATATTGAAAAATAATGATGTATATTCTTATAAAGAATGGGAACGATGATTTTTTTACGCACTCTCAGCTTCGCGCTTTCTGCTTTGCGTCGTAGAATTGTTATTCGCGTTGAGAGGTGTTCCGTTTGCGATCGCTGCACTCACCGCAGCAGCTGCGGCTGCTGCTGCAGCAGCCGCGTTAGCAGTTGCAGCGTTTTGCTGCGCATTCTGCAAATAACTCGGATTCAACAACGACGTGAAATTTCGTGATTGATTCATCGCGCTCGTTGAAAAACTCCGCCGTGTCGCTTACACGTTGTTCCGTCTTCGTCGTTGTTGCGCGTTGTTGACGTCTTAATGTTCTCGTATAATTTTAAGAGAAAAATTTGTACATAAGACTAAGAAAATGGCGATTACTGACCAACGAACATTTCGTTTCTTCAACTTCATGGGCGTACCACCAGACATGGACGTTATTATTCTAAGAATGACTAGTAAACGCGAACGTAGTTGTACACCCTGGCTAATCGTGATTGGTCCGTTTAAGAGATACGATGCGATTGGCAAATGAAATTCTCCAATCAGGGTCGATGTTTGAACATTCCTTATTTGTAATATAAGAAAATCGAAACGTATTTATATCACATTTATTTCTTTATACTATATGTCAAAATCTTTATTGTTAAATATCCTGGGAAAAAATATATTTACATTTCCATGGGAACGAACAAAATGGCTATATGAAAAATGGCGCGGTAACGTAACGAAAGGAATGATCACCTTGGTGTAGTGTGTCCCCTTTCGAAAGCGTTGCCCTCTAGCGAGGAATGCGGCAAACACAAATTTTTATTTCTCGTGCGCGGAGTGAAGTGTACCAATTCATTGAAATAAATCGCGATATATTCGGTTCCGTTGTCGCATTTTCATGTCGTGTGAGTAATCGAATGATAATTCTTTGAATCCGACCGATCGTTCTCCATCCTCCTCGACATACCGAACCTTACCAGAGCCTTGCTACGAGGATGCTTCTTTTGTTTATTTATGCAGCTGTAGTAGTACCAGTTCCGAAAAGCTGTAAAAATACTACACGGACAAATGATAAGATTCGCGATCCCCGGGGCGGCGCGGGGAGGAGAGAGGAGGGGTGGGGGGAGGAATTCTTTTACGAGGGGATATTAAACCTGATAGAGACCTCGAATGAAGTTTTTCTTAAAGAGCTACGAACGCGTTTCGTAATATTGAATAAAATTCGATATCTCTGAATTATCAGCATTCCAAAATGTTGACACCTCCTCTGTCAGAATGCTCTGCTTTGCTACTGTTACGATCCTTCTTCCGTCTCTCTTCTAGTTATGCGTTCCTCGTAAGAATGTGTCTTCCTCTTTCTCCTTCTACCCCTTTCCCACTCTTCTCTCTCTTTCTCTCTCTCTCTCTCACTCTCTGCTACCCTCCCTCTCGCGCCTTTTCGTTCGCCGAGCAGTAATGTCAAATATGAATCGTACGAATAGGACTGCATTCCACGGCGGCTCCGTGTTTTTTTACGTGTCCGCGACATGCTAGCACGTAATCACGTATAATCTGGAAACGTAGTTTTTAATATCCCCTCGTTCGTATGCATTTATCCATTTTCTATAAGAAGATAATAGTGTGTTCGAAAGGTTTCGCTGTGTTTCGTGAATAGAAATTTAGAAAAGGAGATATAAAAGTAGTACGTGTTTTAAGAAAGCAATGAAATTCCATAGTAAACGTTTTGCGAGATAGTATTAGTCTGTCGAATGCAATTTATATATATTATTCAGTGATTACGCTCGACACAACGACGATACGTTGAAACGAATTTGTTTGTTTTTTTTTTTAAACTTTTCTCATGATTCAATGTACGAATTTTTGGTATTTATATTTTCTATGATAGGAGATCGGATCAATGAAATAAGTCGAATTTAAACAATATTTATTTATTCGTCGTTATCGAGATTATATATATATATATATACATATGTATATATATATATATATATATATTTGTAACGTGTGATAATATTTATCAAAGAACAAAGCGTCAGTTGTTTTTATATTGTTTAAATATCTATTGTAGGAAAAATCTGTTAAAAATAGAAAATGCGTGTAATTCTATGAGACAAGGTTATTGTCATAATTTTGATTAATTTTATTGAGATTTGAAATGAATTTCACATTTATTTTTAGATGAAACCTAAGAAATCTAAATGAAATAACAGCGATCATGAGCTCGATTCAACAAAGTGGCAGGTTTCTTCCGTTTTCAAATAATAATATACAAAGAAAGCAATTGTCAATGCAAGGTACAATTTTTGATATACTCTTATTATAAATTGTAAGATTTGATCTTTTTAATCCTTCATCGATAATATATTACGTTAGGTGGTTTACCTCAAAGCCTTAGTGGTAGTGATACAGATGTTTCAACTTCAAATGAAAATTTAAGTAACGAAGAACGATATGTCATCCGTCATACAGCTCGTCAAGAACCACAAGGTCAAGAAAATCAGCAACAAAGTCCATCTAGATCTTCCAGCCATAAAGAAAATATACCCAATATTCAAGTAAATATGATACTTTTTATATAAATATATTTTATATAAAAAAAAAAAAATTGTCAAAAGGGTAATACGTTGGAACAAGTGTTATGTGAAGTAGTATTAATATAGGATTAATTTTTAAGTTTCGCATAAAGAAATAATTAACTTGTTATTGGGTATGGATATTACAGTGAAATAATACATTTACTTGATTGCACGCTATTCCAACCTACTACTATACAATCAATGTTGTGTTACATAAGAAATTCTTTTGTTAAAACACAGGGTAATCTGCTCAATAGAAATAGTTTGAAGGACAGTTTGAATGGCTCGAACAGGAACAGTTTAAAGGAAAGTTTAAATGGTTCTAATCGAAATAGTCTCAAAGACAGTATCAATGGATCGAACAGGAACAGTTTGAAAGATAATTTAAGTAATCGTACAAGCGTAGGTTCTAACAGAAGCAGCTTGGATGTTTCCACAAGTTCATACAATACCCTTATTATTCATAATGCAAATGATGACAATTCATGGACGCCGTCAGGAAGGTAAATAATTTAAATAATATTATAAGAGTATTAAATTTATAAAAAATATTTACAAAGAATTTGAATATTTATTAATTCATTTTGGATTATCTCATTTATTATTATTATCCTTATTAGATTATCGGGCATAGTAAGAGAACATGGAGATATGGGTTATGTGTATTGCGATGGTGGTGGTAAAGGACATTCAAACAGCCCTACAATGCAATCGATATCGAACATCCCTCACGAAGATCATCTTTACGAACAATCCGGTGGTGGAGGTTGTCAAGAAATTACAGACATACCTGACGATTACCTTAGTCAATCACAGGTTGATTCTAATATATAATAATTATGTCGATAAAAGGAATTCATATTTTCTGAATATTATCGAACTAAATCATAACTAATAATTCATTATTGCAAGCAGGTATTAAAGCATCTCGCCAAGGAAGTAAAAGTGCCTTCTTATAGTAAACTAGTAAATAATGGAGGGAGTATAGAAGTAAGAATGAGAGAAAGCGACAGAGGGAAGCAGAATGACAGTGAATTTGAAGACAGATCTCCACAATCTTATGCTTCCACTCTTCTGCCTTTAAAAAATAAACTTAGATTTCTTGGTCCTAATGAAAAATTAACGTTATCAAGATCACAACCTGACTTATCTAGAATTGGTAAAGGAGATATTGATTCTTACGATCCACGAGCTACTTCTCCAAGGTTATTATAATACAAAAAGTTTTATTAATTTTTCAATTCATATATTCTAATTTATTTGTTTTTTATTAGACCTCAAACCAAAGGTCGGGAAGAAATAGGAACAGCGATGGGTGAAATCTGGCCACCATCTGAAATGATTCAGATAGTGATCCAAGAAAATAGTGCCTTAAAGTTAGAATTAGAACGTTGTTATAACAAAGTTGCAAAGTCTCAAAAGTTGGAGCAAGAAATATCAAAGGTTCACCGTGCACACGAGGAATTAGCTGCTTCTTGCGAGCGAAGAGAAAAACTCGAGCGTGCAGCTAGGTTGAGGTTACAAAATGACTGTAGACGATTGACAGAATTAAATCGTGCATTAAGGGATCAAATCGATTTGTTATCTTCTCGAACAGATAGTCCTCCGATCGTAGAGTCAATGAAAAAAGAATTGACGCAACGTGAATTGCTTATTGGACAGTTAATCTCACAAAGTACGCCGATTTTTCTTTATTTCTAAAGATTCGATTCAATTATTATTATTATTATTATTATTATTATTATATGCGAGCTTATATATATATATATATACATATTTTTTTTTTTTCTTTTTTTCTCTCTTATTTATAGATAAAGAGTTAGCTGCCGCAAAGGAAAGACAAGAAATAGAATTAGCTGCACAAAGAGCAACGCTACAAGAGCAACGCACACATATCGATATTTTGGACACTGCTCTTACCAATGCACAAGGGAACGTAGTACGCCTAGAAGAAGAGGTATAAATTTTTATCCTCGAAAGTTGTAATATCAAATATATTATTAGTGAGATATAAATATATTATATAGCGATTCAAATATATTAACGTTTAGAAATGTTATCGTTTTGTAGTGTCGAAGAAAACAAGTGTACGTAGAAAGAGTCGGTCAACTTCAACGAGCTTTATCATCTCTTCAAGCGTCCAGCGATAGACGAGAAGAAACCGAAAGACAATTGAGAGGTCAACTTGAAAAAGAATTAAGAGAGGGAGGTGGTGGAGGTGGTAATAGTAGCGAACAATCTTCGAATGGTGAAACTATCGCGGATTTGAAACGACGATTACGCGAACGAGACGAAAAAATCATGTCCCTCGAAGGGGACGTTACTAAATGGGAACAACGTTATCTCGAAGAAAGTGCATTAAGGCAAGCTGCTATAGATGCAGCTAGTCTTCCAAAGTACGTTCGCGTATTTTTAAACTGTCACAAAAATAAATATTTCAAAGATCTACCATTAAATATATATATATATATTTTTTTTTTGTTTTCGTTTTTTATTTAGAGATGCCAAAATTGCCGCTTTAGAAAAAACAAGTCAAGATGCAGAAAAATTAATCGCGGAAGCTCGTTCCGAAAAAATACGACATATGGATGAAGTGCATGCTGCACAAAAGAAATTAACTGATCTTGAGTCGAGGTAAATTTAAAAATATCACAATTTTAATAAGATATATTAATATTGTTATATTATATATCATGATAATATTGGATATAAAACAGAATGAAAGATTTGGAATCGAAGCTAGCCGAGAGGGATGCTATGATAAGAGTTCTACAAAAGCACACATACGACAAAGATAATAGTAGTAGTAGTGGAGTCGGCAGTTATCCTGCTGCACATTCATCTCATTCAAGTACGTCGGCAGATCATCATACTGCACTGACAAGCACACCAGAACTTGGTAAAAAAATAATTAAAAAAGAAAAAGAAAAGAAAAAACATTATAATGATCAGCTTCTTTAGCATTTCAAATAGCTTCCTTTAAACGCGTCATGGTATATTAAATTGCAGTTACATATCTTCATTAATTTTGTTTATAGTAAGCAGTGTCTTAGGCACTGGAAGCGGTTATGGCAGTACTGGATCTTACGGAGTCACGGACAGTTACAAATATCGAAAACAAGGAAGTTTCGAGCAAACGAATAAGAGCCTTGACGATCAGTTAAAGGAATTAGATTCACAATTACTCAGCAAGGTAGGCAGATACTTCTTCACGTAGTCGCATTCTCGGAAAAAAAGAAAAAAAGATAAAGAAAAGAAATTTCAAGACGACGAAACGGCAAGTAGTATATTCATTGAGGGAATGAATTATAAAAAAAAAAAAAAAGAAAAAAAAAAAAAAAAGAAAAAAATAAAAAGACAAAAATAATAATTATAACCAAGAAATATGAAAGTTAAAAGTACCAGTGTTCTATGGTAAAACTTTCTTCCTCGTACATATTCGTGAGTTTTCATATACACGCAATATTGAGGTCGATTCAATTTTGCGGAAAATTACATTTTAATTTCTTTAGCTCTACTTCTCTAATAGCCGTTGCAGATAATGAAAGTTTTACAGATCAACGTCAAGGTATTTTTGTGTTCGTGTTATGTTTGAGGTAGTATTTTGGATAAAGTGGAAATAGTTAACACAATTAACGTGAAACATTTCTGATATCTTTTTGATTCGCCATTTATCAATTTTCTGTAATATCTTCGATCAAATTGAAATAAAATGGAACATATAAAAAAAATGTGTTTACTATTTCCAATCAGAGTTTTTCGATTGTCATCATTTGCATAACATAATGTGTGATCTAACGTAAAACATTTTACAATGAAATTTATGAACGACAAAAAATCCTAACTATATACTAGTTTTGATTGGCATCTCGTAATACTAATCAAACGTGAAACCAAATTAAACATAGATTATAGAAGAGATTGTGAATTGGCACGCGATAATTAATCTCGAGTTTCTCCTTGACAGAAAATCCCACTAATTCCAAAACCAAAATCAAGACCGATCCAGTACCATCCTTGAGTGTGCATGCGCTGTTGTGGCGAGCACTAACTCCGTTCCAGGTCCCGGTATTCCTCTCCAACGCAGGCGTTCTTCTCTCTTGTTTCAGCGGGCACTTTGCTGTTTTCCAGGATTCTCTAATCCAGGCACTGCGTCGCGAAAAGGAAAAATACCCAAGCCATTACTGGCGGGTGTAGACAGTACAGGTAGCTCGAGTACCGCTTCGAGCAAGAGTCGTTTGTTGGACGACTCTGGAGGCGAGGCATCCACCGGTATAATGGAATTCGCAACGGCGAGCACAAGACTGAAGGGTACGGTTTCGAGATTGTCGGATGGCAAGCCGGAGGAGATGTTGCTGTTGGAGAAACAAGGTAGAAGCTCGCAGAGACAGAGAATGCAAGAAGGTGAGCCTCGTCGTGCTGGTAGTCTTCCACCGAGTTCGCTACCACGACCACCGAGAAGTCTCAAGTCTACAAATTCGCGTTATTGTCGTTTGAGCGACACGGAGACGCGTAAGAAGTCAGATCCTGGTCCGGTTTTAGATTCGTCGATCGGTAAGGGCCGAGATTCTGGAAATTGCACCTTGGAATATGGGAGGTTCGACGCGAAGTCACAGCGTAGAAAGAAGTCACCAGGTACGGATAGTTACGCTCAGAACAGCTCATTGAAGAAACCGTCGTCGACGTCGGGTCATGAATACGAGCGACTTCAAGGTGACTCCGATAGGAAGAAATTAACGACCGGGAACGACGTTAAGCATAGGGACGGACAAAATCGTTCCTTGATACCGCCACCCTCTCGTCGAATTGGAGAGTACGGTCGTTTGAGCGATGGCGATGCCTCTGCTAGTAGCAAAGGTGCTTTAAGAAAGCAAACGGGCTCGCGTGGACAGAGTACGGGAAGTACCGTCAGTAGTAAGAGCGGAGGACGAGATTCTGGTGGCACCGCCAGCAGCGAGACTTCTATCTCGTCCTTGTCGCCGATCAAAGCGAGATCGATACCACGACCAGCTAATTATCGTATTCAATTCTAATTGGATACGATAAAATACGAGAAAAAAAAACAAAGGAGAAAAGAGAGAGAGAGAGAGAGAAAGAGAGAGAGAAAGAGGAATCTATATTCTATTTGCCTTTCCTCTTTGACCTAGTCAATTTTCTCTACGTCTCTCCCTTTCTTCCTTCTATTTGTTTTCTCTCTCTCTCTCTCTCTCTGTCTCTCTCTGTCTCTCTCTCTCTCTCTCTCTCATTTGATTCGATAACAACGAGCAACCAAACTCGTATCTTCTTCGTGCCGTATTCGGTTCCATTAGGTTCCACTTTTTTTTATTACGTGGAACATACAATGCAACAGTATAAATATACAGCCATAACGACGATTAGTTTCGCTAATGAATTATATTTCTAATGTGTTTTTGTAGAACGAACGAAAGCACTCACGACCGCCCGCCCGCCCACCCGCCTATCTGCCTGCCTGCCTGCCTGCCTACCCGCATGCACGCACGCACGCACGCACGCTCGAACTATCGTAACGCGGCGATAGCGTATGACCTAGTCATTACCAAAGTAACTTCCCTACTCTACACGCTGCGAATTTGTTGATTAAGCTCTTAGGCCACTTCTTTGAGAAGCGCCAATCGACGCAACCCGTTCTATCTTTACTCTTGTCTATTTTAAAGAGCGATAATCTAAGTGCATTCTTTTATCTTTCCTTTAAATTTAATGTCGATACTTTCTCTCTAACAGGACTTCTTCGTATACGCGAAGTCCTATTTTTATTATCCTTCTCATCGTCTGTCGATTAGGATAAATTTTATTTGTCTTTTCTCTCCATCTCTTTTTCTCTCTCTCTCTCTCTCTCTCTCTCTCTCTCTCTCTCTCTTTTCTATAAGACTGAACAGTCGGACAGGAACGAGGCACAAAACGATTTGTCGCCAGTCGCTCTTTTAGATCTTACGCGTTTCATATTCTTATTTTTATTCTTATTCTTATTCGACTGAACCTTGCAGGTTGATTCAAAAGGTCCCCGCAAAAAGACTTTGATAAATCTTTTTCTTCTTTTTTTCCTCCTTCTCTTATGCCTTCTACGTTGTACTCTTCCTCTCTTCCAAACAATTCTCGATTGCAAGTGCATGGCATAGCGTCTCCCCTTTTTATTACTTCGTTTTTCTTTTTTAGCTCGAACGAAAACGCCAAAGTATCATACTTTTATTATAATATACGATTTATTACGATAAAAATGTCTATCCTAATATAATTCAATATATTTATTTGTTTCTTGTGTCAAATATTTTAATACGTATATGTATGTATATACATATGTACCGTGGAATATTTGTGTAGTGGAGAAATGGCACGCGTAATTGTATTCTTTTTTGTTTGTTCTCTTTCTCTCTCTTTCTCTATCTATCTCTCGTTATCTCTATCTCTATCTCCAATGTGTAACATATTTTACTATATTGATTGTGATGTAGCATAGAAGGATGTCAGATTCGTAGACTACTAAGAATACTTCGTTTTCTTTTCTTTTTTATTTTTACCTTCTCACGGTGGCTTGGTCATCAAGGCGACTATTTCTTTTTTTCTTTTTTTTATTTTTTTTTTTTTTTTTTTTTTTTCAACATGTGTAATAAATTTTCCAACGCGTATTTACGTTTCTTTGAAACCAGTTCGCTAATAATCTCGACCGACGATAAATCGTTTTCCTCATAGGACGATAATGTGATCTCCTCAATCTCCTTTTTCTTTACGTTCTCATCAATCTTTTCCTTCGATACCACGCAAGACGGTAACAACAACCATCTTCGACATTAACGAATAGTAATTGTATTTTGAGAAAAGTCAAAAACGTGCGAATAAATATGATTAAAATAATTATGATCATATATATATATATATGATTTTAATGATAAAATAGACTCGCATGATTGAACTATCGGGCTGGTTTTCGAAGCTGTAAATCGATTATTATTAACTTTATGTTGGTTGTGTTGTAACAACCGTCTTGTTATCAATTCTGTTTATAGGAGATTTATAGTCATCGTTAATTAAACGACCTATCAATTTTATATTCGCTAAAGAAAAGAAAAGAAAAGAAAAGAAGAAAAAGGAAAAGAAATACAAAGAAATTTGAATAGACGAAATAGAAATTGTCATTCCTCTTTTTGATTTCGAAATTGCTATAGTTCCTTTAAACGCGTTTATTGCAAAGTTTCGCGTGCCTTAATATGGATGACAAGACACTCGGCGTTCGTTTTGAAAAAACTATGATAAAAGATAGAACGCGTTTCGTACTTTGATGATATAATAATAATAATAATAATAATAATAATATTAATAATAATAATATTAATAATAATAATAATAATAATAATAATAATATTAATAATAATATAATAATAATATTAATAATTAAAAATAATAATAATATATAGATACACATAACACATATTTATATACAAATGTTTGTACCGCTCGTAATAAGTTTAGGAACTTTAGGTTTCTACTCGTATTTTTTTCTCGAAATGTTTAGCTTTATTAGCGAAGTGATTAGCGAAGTATAAGGCTGTTATATCACAATTCTAGTAAAGTCAATTGTACGTACCTAAAAATATTGATGCGAAAAGTAAAACGTCGAATGATCCTTTTCTATATACAAACATATCGGGTGTGTTAATATGCGTTTCTCCTCTCTCTTTCTCTGTCTTTCTCTCTTTTTTTTTTCTCTCTCTCTCTCTCTCTCTCTCTCTCTCTCTCTATCTCTTTATCTCTCTATCTCTATCTCTCTTCGAGACGTCTCGAAGGTAAAATGAGTAAGTTGAGCAAAAAGTGTCGATGAGAGTACCTTTTACGTACAAGAATGCCAAATTGCAGCGTCACCAAAGATGCGTCATGTGAATGAAAGAAGGAAAAAAAAATAAAAAATAAAAATAAAAATAAAATAAGAAAAAGGCAAGGAGGAAAGAAATGAAAGAAAGAAAAAGAATATAAGGGAGAAAAAAAAGAAAGAACGAAAATGGCGTGACTATGCGTCGTATCCAAATATTGTTCCTATGATATTTTCGCGTTTTACACGTATAGTTCACATCTCGTAACTCTTGATCGAGACAACGCTCGCTATCGTTGCAACGCGTTGCCTTTCGTTTGCTCTCTATTTTTGATACGGCCGTAAACGATAAAATATTTATTTGCGAGCAATGTTAAACGTTCTTTGCGTGATTCAATTGAATCTATGTAAAGAAGAAAAGAAGAAAAAAGAAAATGTTCGTCACGTCGGCAAAATTACATTTCGATTGGAAATTTTATATTGAAATGTTTACGGCTTGATTTTATCCGACGGGATGATCATTCGAATAATAATAAAATAAAATGCACAGCGATATTCGAACGTATCGAATTCGTTGTCTTCTGCAAGTTTCTAATGCGCCATGGCTGGAAAATAGGCAGAGTAAGCGAATTTTAAGAGCGTTGATGATGATGATTATTATTATTATTTTTTTTTTGTTTTTCTTTTTTTATGAAAACACAAACACCGTTTCACGCGCTGATATAACTTAATATATTAGCCTTATACTTATCGACAAAGTATAAAATAAATCTGCCAATCGATGTAGCGTTTTGACGAATGAAAGCTTTGTACGAGAGGTGGTCTGTCGATGTAAAGAAATTATGCGAAATACAGGTTCTGTTGTAATTCTGATTTATTTCATTTTGAAGAAGACGAAAGGTAGAAAGTAAAATTCATTTCCTATGATTTTGTCGGTGTAAATTTGACACAAAGTGGTTTAGACAAATGCAAAATAATATCTGCTACCATTTTAATGTCATTTATTTCGTCAACTGGGGTTCCAAGTAAAAGTTGTGTAGTATGTAAGCAATAATTAGTTTGATCTCAAATATTGCGAATCTTTGACCTACGAAAAGAAAACTAATACAGGTGATTTTAATATTTTTATCATTTCTTCATGCATCATATTTTACTTTATTGCACTTTCTTAATCCTACGCTGAATGGTATTTATGAATAAGGATTACGTCCTTTCACATTTTCCGGTAATCTATCAGTATCAAAAATATCTGGATTTTCCCAATATACGGGATTTCTGTGTAAGCTATAGATGTTTACGTGACACGTCGAATCGGGTAGGACTAAATAATTCTCTAAAAATGAATATGATGATTTATTTGATATAGTCGATTAAACAAAAATATATGTGAAATGTAAATATATTACATACTCAGCTGTAAATTCTCAAATATATGACGAGATATAAAATGAACGCTTGGATATAATAAGCTTAGTGATTCTTTTATGTATCTTTCCAAGTAACGAAGCACAGAGATTGTTACTTTATAATCTTGCTGTTGCATAACTGTGCTCACTTCGTTTCTTATACTTTCTTATAAATCAATAGATCATTTATTATTCATGCAAGACACGTCTCTTTCGTGACCGATGTTTTATTAATCTTTTTGAAAGAAAAAACATTACCTGAATATCTTTGTGTTTTGCAAAAAGAAGCAAAGCAAAGACCAAAGTTAAGACCGTAGTGACGTGATCCTATGAAGATTTTTTTCATAAATTATTTTCATTTTCTCTTATCTGTTAAGCGAAATAAATTCGTATTATCTAGAAAATATGGCAAACATAAAAGTATCGACTTCTTCTCAAATATCTTCCTCATCGATTTCATTATCCTTCACAGAAGTGGCTTTAAGTAGATCTAACATAGCGAGTCTTTTCTCGAATGTCGGATCTGTGATGAAAATATTCAATTAATATTTCTATCGAGATTATAATAAATTATTATTAAATAATTAGAATACTTTTATTATTCTCGTCAAATCCTTCAGAAAATGTCCATCTTTTTAAAGTTTTATAAAAATCTCCCGTTAATTTGTTCATGGAAATGTTTCCTTTCTGCAATTATCTAAAGGTATCTACAGGTATCTGAAAATAATTTGTTTTATAATATATAGACCGATTATCGATCAGATCTAAACTTTTTTCCGAACACGTGCGTTGATGAAACGCATGCAACTTATCGAGGAAAAATAAAAATAGTATATAATAACAAAGTATCATAACTATGAACGATAACGTAATTAAGAGAAACTATTTCTTTTTCTTGACCAAACAATCTAATTAATTTCCACTATAAAATCACGAGTAATTATTAAATTATATTTTACATAAAATATATCGTAGATAGTTAAATCGATGTTACACTTTAATCAATTCCAAAGTTATTATAAACAAAATTCATTTGATGATTTTCCAAATTACGAGAAATTTTTAACTTGGCAATCAAAAAAGGAAAAAAAAATAAACCATAAAAAAATGTGTTCTTTTTCGACCATGAAAATTGTTACGAAAGAATATGAGATTCGAGGATATTGGGATCTTAGCCAGGGTCGAGTGATACTCCAACTCGGGAATATAGAAGTTGTATAGATAAGTTTATTAATCTTTTGGCCAGAATAAAAGCTACGTTATGTTCCAAGTTCTTTTTTTTTATGGACTCAGTTGCTAACTGAAGAATGTCTTTTCTCGCAAGGCACGTCCGGTTGGGAATTTTTTGCAAGATGTTTTAAGTTATTATAGCCGTACGATGTTTATTCGACGGCACGTGTTGCCTCTTGATGCAATTCTAAGTCAAAGTCACCTTAAAAATGCTGTTCCTTAGAAATGCTTGTTTCTCATTTTTTTTCCTTACTTATATTTTTATATGCGTTTTTTCAATATATTTTTACATCGCGATGTAATGCTCGTTTATTTGTTATTATTATTGTTATTATTATTATTAGCGATAAAAAAAACCTTCTATTCTATTTTTACTTTACAAGTAAAGGATAAACTTTATCGATACTATATTCTATATTTTCGATTAATAGTAATTTTATTATTAGAAAGAGTATGCTCTTTCTACAATATTAGCCTACTTTTGCGATCTCGAAGAAGTTATTAATTTCTCTACGATTTATTGAATTTGAAAAATTAAGTCGTTTAAACAAATATGGTAGAGAATCTTTTATATATTCCATCAGCTTGTTTCGACGATAATAAAGTTAAATTAATTATTCCCTTTGGTAATCCCACGAAAAAACTCGTTAGTCGACGTACAAAAAATAATAATAATTATTCTACAATTAAACTAATTGCGGTTAATCTTTAATCTAATTTTTTATCTAACCTGCAGGTCTATTGCTCGATTAAAAAGACTATGCTCTATTTCGGTTATAAATATAAGTTTTATAAAATTTTAATTTATTATAAAACATAGTTAAATTAATTATTAAAAGTGCGTTACGTTTTCATATATTTCTTACAATTCTTTTAAAGTTCTTTCCTCCATTAGTTGGACTTTAATAGGAAATTGTTGAAACAGGATTGGCTGAACGAAGTCGCATGCTGATTGGTAATTGATATCACGTGACATAAATTCACAGCTATATGAGTGTCTAGATTACAGGATTATAAGTAAGCTCATATTCCATGCGAAAAAACAGAGTAGGCAACCTATCGCTGTTGCCAATCCCTGACGCATAATTAATGTCTGCGCTTTTGTCCAGTTTCGTTGGAATTGAACTATTCCGGCAAAAAGCTATAAAAATTTTTTGAAAATTATTATAATTTTATGCATTACATATTTTCCATAACAATAAAAGTAACGGTAACGTAGGAATCTCTCAGAAATAAAATGTCCCGTAATGTTACGTTACCACGACGATTTTGAGTTCATTTGCTGTGGTGTATGTTACAAAAGCGTATTATTCGAAATATTTGAGAAATTCATTATAAATTTTAAAAATAAATTAATCAAGCTTTTGTAGAATAAATATATTTTGTATTATATTATTTTGAGATCAATACAAATTTATTATTCATTCAATATTTTATAGATCCACCATTTATCATGAACTATGATGTCAAATAATCTTGCAATCTGATTGGTTATCTTTAAGAATAGTAACAATAGAATTTCGAATTTTTCAATGGTTATTATTTTGTCATGGCTTCTTTTACGACAGTCAAATCGAGCAATGCGATTGGTTGAAAATTTATTGTATTGTCATGGAAAATGCGTGTGACCAATTTAAAATTGTTATCATCGAAACATGTGTAATTTCAGCGGTAAATATGAATTACAAACGAAATTAATTTAGGTAATATATAATATGTAATATTTATTAATTATTATTTTTGAAAAAATAAGTGGTAAAATCACCGAGTGAGATACCGTGAGTTTCTGCACACAACAATCAGGCGATCGTTTAGTCCAAGCGATAGACATACATCATTGAAATGTGTTTATAAAAATTAATAATGGCGATAGGATTCTTATTTTTTATGAAAAAATGTCGAAAAAACTCGTTGAACTCAGGCATATAATATTTTTTTATTTTGAATTTTACTTTAATATACGAAGTCTCATTTTAAAGATAAAAGTTTACACAAGGAAATGGCTTTTCAAAATTATTGAAAAATTTTCCTTTTCACTTGCCTAAACTAGTTTTTGACACAATTTTTTTCAAAAGATATAAAGCTTTTTCATTGAAGAAAAAAAAATATTTATATTAAATTAATTTTTATTAAATTTATTAATGAGAATACCGACGTCATTGGAATTAGTCCAACGACGACAATCCTAGTTTATACGTTTCGCTAGGGTAACTAAGAAGGATGAAATTCTCGGTAGATAACTGTACAATTTTCCACACTAATTTGACTAATTTTCTTTTTCTTCTTATCCTTCAAACAAAGTAATAATGATCAAGGTTATTTAATAAAAATGATTTAATTATATAATTTTGAAGTATAATCAATTTTATCATATATTTATCATATAATAATCAATCCTTTTTATGTGATTGCATATAGAAAAATTTACTTTACATAACGAATAGAAAAATAGAGTAAAAAATGAGGTTATGTTTCTTTTTTTTTTCTTTTCTTTTCTTTTCTTAATTAATAAAAATTTTTCTCTTGTAGAATACCGTCGGTATAATGGAGCTATGTGAATTCGCGTCATGAATTGTAATACTTGTTTGAGTCTATAGATGGCATGACGATGGATTTTCAACGAACATGTCTGGTAAGCCAAAATTACCTTATCGACATACATAATTGTAAAATAGCTGTGTTACGAGTTGATCATATTTTCATTTCTTCTCTTCTCTCCTCTTCTATTCTCTCTTTTCTTCACTCTTCTCTTTTCCTCTTTTCTCCAATCCTTTTCTCATTTCTCTTCTCTTCTCTTCTTTTATTTTCAATTTTTCTTTTCTTTAATAACTTCTCGATCATATTATGAAATCTAAACATTCGATGAAAAATGAACAATGAGTGGCTGTTGCAATTTATTAAAGTGGATTATGTTTTAGAAACGTTGATAAACGTTGAAACACTTAACCAAATCTGATAAAGTCGAATATGGATCTTCGAAGTATACGTTCGATATTCTCGAAAATCGTATCGTGGCGTATAATCTATTTTAGAATATTCCCCGAAAGTTTGAAAAGCTTGTCACGCATTACGTCAGAACTTCCGAAGGTTAAGGCATTTCTCTTAAATTGAGTTGGATAGTTTTCTAACCTAAAAACTTGGCCGGGTAGGAAAACCGCTTTCTAACGGATTTAACTTCTCGATCTAATATAAAGTTCAGCGTGGACTCGCACCAAAAAAAGAAAAAAAAAA